CTAAACTGTGTCCTGCCCCTCGAGAAGTAAAAGGGAACACATTCGACACTGTTTGGACACCAGGTCTCTGGCCCTAGTGAAGGATTTATAGCTTATGAATGGAAGCCTAATGGAGACATAAAACTACTGATAGGAAAGGCTGACAGAGCCCTGACAGATTCAATATGGTGCCATGTATCATTCTTTAATCTTAACTGTGACATGGCATCTCAGAGAACCATTGTCGATGAAGGCTTCTCCATGGGAGGCATTCATACAATTGCTGCTGTTAATCACCTCCTGAAAACTGTGTGAAAAGGGAAAAAATTAAGTTTAGAAAGGTAAAATGATCCTCCGCAGGTGTCACAAGAGGTCAGGATGAGGAGCAGAAAAGGAAGTCAAGCGTGCTGCTTGTTGGCCTTGCTCCTCAGCCCAACACTGCACCATCTCTCCCCTTGTCAAAGTCTGGGGATACAGAAAATACACATAAGAAAACTACATATCCTGAATTATCATCTCTGAGATAAATTAAGGTCCCTTTACTGCACAAACTGAGTATTTCCAACAGGACCATTCTAGCATCTCTCTTCTCCCCATGTGCACACTGGAACTACAAAAGGAGACTACTATATTATCCAATACATAAAACTTTTAGTTCCTTTGGTAGCTCTGAGCTATGGTGAAAAACCAGTGAAAGTTCCTTCCCACTAGTCAGGGAAACTCTGCTGTGAGGAGTGACTCAGCTGGGACATAGTCCAGAAGGCAACAGGAGATGAGGGGCCCCGATGGCACTTTTCCAGTCTTAATCAGCACTGTCTACACGGTGATAGAGACTGATAAGCTGCCAGAAGTCATTTCTTTCTATGAGACTTGAAACAGTGGTCCAGAACAGTTGTGATCTTTGTGTGTGTGTATTTTATCGGGGTTTTTTTAAATGCAAAATCAAAGGCTGTAATTTCCCTTGGCGGCCAACAAACAATTCTGATAGTTTCATTCTAATCTCCTATAAGTATCCATTTCTCCTCTCTCAACCTTAACCAATTTCCACTCCACACAGCATTATTTTTTTCAAACAAATCAGACATGCCTGTCTACAATAGCACATTTATCAACAGGCAGGGCTGTGATAGAGAGAAACTATCTCTACCGCAGAGTGCATAACACATTTGGGAATCCTTTCTAATAAAAAGGGATTTGATTAAAGACAGCCAACTACCACAGATCAGCAGTAAAGAAGGAAGAGCAGCTTAGACTTAAAAGACTTCAATCTGCTGATCTGCCAAGGACTTCCCAGGAGAAGTCACTTCATAAGTCACTCCAGAACCTACAGGAGGGTAGGAGGGGACATACATTTGGGGTGCTTGGACTTATTATAGTAGTCTGGCCTTAACAAAATCAGGTTAGGTAGAATATACAACATGCATGTTTAACTCCTAAAAATGTACATTGATTTTTTTTTTTAATTATTATGCTTACTGATGATACCTCCATGCTCAAGCACTGCCTTGCCAATGGAGCTAGAGTATTTCCCAGTGGCTGGATTGTGCTGCTGTGACAAGCCTAGGCAACACACAGCTGTCAACTGTAATCTTGCTGCTCCGAAGTGTGTCTCCTGCATGCTGCTTCTGGCTCCCACCACGCATCCCAGCTCCCTGGGAAGGCACTGTGATTCGTGCCACGCTACCAGCTGTGTGTGCTCGCGTGAGCAACACTTGCCCAGAACAGTTCCCCCAACCCTGAAACCACCTTCAGTAATTTCCACCCAGGGAAGCTGCAGAGAGGTGCAGTGAGCACAGACTGGATGGAAGTTCTGGCTGACCTGCTGCCCTGAGCTCAGCTCACTTGGTCTGCCAGCAGTACCAACCAGCATTTCCAGGGCAAAGAGACAACTTCAGTGACTCCTAGTCCTCTTCCCTCCCAAGGAACCTCTGCTCTGCCCACTGCTGGGCATATTCTGCTGACTCCAGAATCAAGATGGCTTGACTGAAAACCAGAGATACAGCAAGTGAAATCACAGAAGGAAAATGGTTACGAAAAAGATTCCAGAGTGCTGACGGGCCAAGTAAAATGACCTTTCTCCAGCCTGACAGTTCAAATGTAATTATTCCAACAAATTATTTTTATGACTTAATATAACGCCTTGCAGCTTTCTAGCAAGGTTAATTAGATTCCTCAATTCAAAACCTATCTGCACTTAACCAACTTTTAATATGCTGAAATCCAGTTTTCTAAATTCAAACTAATAAAAGTGATTAGTTGACAGCTATCTGGTATGCTACAATTACCATGGCATTTAGACCTCAGGCATAAGATATTTAATGCAAATCAGAGTCAATGTCTCTGCCCATTTGTCCTTTTTCTGATTATTTGATCAATGTGCCATATGAATCCTGTACAGTCCACACTACCACACTAAATAAATAAAGCACAAGGGCAGAGATATTATTTGAGACAGTTAACCAAAGTTGAAAGACTCTTTTTTTCCTCCCACACTTAATTTTTTCCTTCCACATGAGTACGAAGTTACTGAAAGGCACTGGCTGACAGCTTAAGTAGAAATGGGTATTTAGTTCTGACATAGCCAGAATTAGTACAGAACTCCCGTCCTGCACTGCCGTATCAAAGGGCTTCATCTATTATGACTCCAGAGACCATCTTCCCCCAGGGAAGAGCTTGGGCTGGAACAAACCTAGGAGGATGAGAGCAGCCTACCACTTTGATGGTATCCAACCATAAAAAGTAGTTGTGGTCCTGCATTATGTATCTTTTTAGATAGATAATGCTCCCAAATGGCTGTGTGGGGCATAGCATGCTTAGAAAGCTGAGGAGGTGATTAGCCCAACACATGGCTCTTCTGCACATCAGGAATGCCAGGGCTGGACACTGCTTCAGAGATGAGCTTCAGCAGCATACACTCAGTGCAATTAGAAAAGCAATCAGGTGCAGCTGGTGATTACACATCACCTGCCCAAGGTAGGATTAAGGTTGTTTGATTTTCATCTTCCACCTTGCATCGTGAATGATTATTCCATTTTTGATCATGCCATCACTTAAACACTGGCAAAACACGTGAATGCTCTGAAGCCTCCTTTCCATTTTGTTGTCTCCTGCTGAGTTAAGAGCTATTGGCATGGCATCGTTCTGACCTTACATCTGATAGCCAAATTGAAGACCTCACACTGAGGGACTTTATGTTCCAACCGTTTGAGCTATGCATCCCTTTTGGATGAAGAAACTTTGATGTACCACCATCTTAGGCATACAGTATTAGTCTGCAAGATCTGAGCTTTTCAGCTTCATAAATTCAAGAGCTAAACAAAACTAAAGCTTCACTTCAGGAAGCAATTTCTGAGCTGTGAGGAAAATTAATCACTAGAACAGCTTATCAGGGTAGGTGGTTGACTCACAATTGCTCGAAGTCTTTCAGATAAGATTAGATTTTTATTTTTTAAAGTCATGATTCAATCATGTTTCTGGGACAAACTGAGAGTAAGACATTAGGCAGTATAATGGCAAGGTCCTTTCTGACCTTGAAGCCTGTGCATCTCCAAATTCTTTGTTCATCTGCCTACTTTCCTGGGCTAAAAGGAAAACCGGATAGGCTCTGGTCCATCAACCAACTCCTGCCACACAGTTCTACATTAAGAAAATTACTATAATCAAATCTCATGCTTCAGGGCTTCAGCCATTTGCCTGAAGGGAGCAGGAAAGAAGTTTCTCCTGCCCAGTTAATGGCTAAATGTTATGTTTATTTGGTTGTTGCTTCATGTTTAAAACATCAGAGAGTGAACCCAAATAGCAATGGGCAGAGATGAAGTCAAACCCATCAACACAGAAAATGCTCTTTGGCTATTCTCTATTCAATTAGTCATTCCGGCTCACACCTCAGATCAGTGATAGTCATCAACTCTGATGACTACCAGTGTTGACAGAGAAGATATTTTGGTTGTGAGGGTGGAGACCACAGAAGATAGAAGGTACTGATGACAATGGGGACTGATATCAACTCCATCTACAAGGGCAATGTTTGTTTGATTAGAACATCTTAACCTGCCCATGTTATCAGATTCTTGTCACTGCGAGATCCTCATTTATTAGTTAAACCTTGATCCCATTTGTTTTTGGATTAAACCAGATCACAAAAGTTTCTTTAAGCCAGAAATGTTTTGATCCACTCAAACTCTACAGCAAATAGAGCTAGGGAGCAATCTAAATGAAATTTTTAAGAAATTATGAAATAAAGAAAGATAAAGAACCCAGAATGAATGGCCTGCCCCAGTATTTAACTTTACAAACTGTAGCAGTTTGTTTCCTAACAATACTATTACCCAAGCCTGTAAGAAACTAAGCATACAAGCAGATGCCTCAAATGTGCCCAAGACTTGACCTTAATGCAGAGTTCAGACCCCACATCACCTATCTTTCATATAAAGGCAAGGTATACATTCTACACCTACAGATATCTAAGATAATTCCTTTCTACACCACTTAAGAAGGAAATTAGACAATTATCTTTTTCTGGGCAAGGAAGACAATACAGTTATGAGTGAACAGGTCCCCATGTATAACCACCCTAACCAACTCAAAATGGATTTCCTTTTTATCTGTGCCAGCACACAGAAAATGAAAAACCATGCCTTAGAAGCAGAACACATTGACACTTCTATGTTTTTTGCAGCTGGAATGAGAAGGGAGCAATGGGGCAGGCAGGCAAGACAACACACCACACCTGAGTTCAGACAGGTAGCCAAAGAGCTGGGGACAGATGGTGTGAAAATGAACCAGACATTGAAAAATTCAACCTTAAAACCAGAAAGATTACAAACATATAGTGAGTGAGCATGAGATTTATGCTGAAATTACAGAGGAATTCCTATGGCTGATTACACTTCCAGCCCAAGCGTGGAAAGCACATCCATCAATACGAGTGTCACTACGTTACCAGTGCAGCTGTCGGGCCTCCCCATTACTGCACCCGGTAAATATGGAAGAGGGCTATGGACACTTGTGACAAGGCTCACCAAAGTAGTCATCAGAGGGAGGATTCTCCATGTCATACAGCATTTTCTTGGTCAGATGTTCCAGCTCATCCTCAGGCCTGAAGGCAGGAGTGCTTGATGCAGGTCCAGAGCTTGGATATCCACTCTGGAAAAAAAGGACAGTCTGTGATGTGATATAAAAAGCATTCACACAAAGTAAGAGGGTCTGTTGGTTGTTCAGTGTTGAACTTCATTCTTTATCTTGTTTTTGCTTTCTTTAAACCCCAAGGGATTCAAGCAAGTAAACATCTCACTTATAATAATGGCCAGTCTTCGCGAGCAAAGATCCGGGGAAGGTCTTTACACCTTCCAGCCTGCGCATTGGATTTTTTAGGTGAGACACAGTGTGCGCGGAACTGAGCCCACCCTTTAATCCTAAGGTTCATCTGCCGGGGCCAAGCAAGCTTGGACGGTGGCAGCGAGGTCCTTAGGACGTAGATGGATTGCCTATTTAAGGGTTAACGAGCTCCATCAGCCCGAGAGTGGCCCTGATCGGGAATCGAACCCGGGCCTCGGCGGTGATAGCGCCGCGCCTTTACCACTAGACCACCATCTCACTTAATGTAATGAAAATGGACTCTGAGAAACATCCAGTGAGATGCTATATATCCTCCGAGAATGAGAAGTATTCTCTGCCTCATAATTAGGTGTCAACTGGGTAACATATAATAATAAATAAAGGGGAAAATTATTTCAAGGATAACTTGATACAAATGCTTTCCAACACTAAAAAAGGCTTTGGAAGTATTTAAGTTTGGACTTAGTAAAAGCTTCCATCACTTAACAACTCAACATAAAAGATGCTAGAACAATCATTCCTACAGTGGTGGAATATATGGACAGAAACTCATAATTCAAAGCTGCTAGTTATGTTCTCTTCTTGTTTGTTTTGACACAAATTCAGCTATTAACATTAGTGAGACCAGGAGGTGGTCCACAGATTTTTAGTATTAGGGATACAAGTAGTTTAGTATGGATGCAGAAACTGAGTTCTCTTGGCCTTCATATGCTAACAGCTGGATACAGTATTTGCAGTCTGTTTCAGAGCATCTTCTCCCTGAAAAACACCGGAAGTATGGGCATATTTTGAGAAGCACAGAATTAGTCTTATGCCTAGAAGTTTCTTAGAAGAAGCTAAGTTTAGTGTCCATAATAAGAAACTCGGTCATTTCAGGATTAAAAAATGCTGACACCAGCTTTCCTTGTGTGCACTGCTTTCTTGAAAGACTTGTATATGAATTCTAACTTATTTATGAAACATAGCATTTCAGTAAAGCAAGTGATTTCATTGATTAATTGCTGCCTTCATCACAGATTGGACTTTTGATATGAAACAAGGAAGCATTTTTCTATGCTCCATGCCTACTTACATGGCAAGAAAATGTAAAATCACCAGAGAAACAATGCACTGGCCACTTCTATCTGGCTTACAGAGACTACACCTGACACAAAGAATCTTTATTGAGCCAGTGATGTTCAACAAAGAACAGCACGTTTAAAGCACTGCACTGCAAGAGAACTCACTAAATGCTTTCATGCTTTTCTCTTTCAGGTAAGAAAGAGACTTCAAATGAGACATCAATCAATGTAGAGAAGGTCTCAGAATGATGCTTAGCAATAATATATCAATTATCCACTCCTAAAAACCAAACACTTGCATGTTCCTAACCATACTTATTTTCCAGGTCCATGCTAAGTTGTACACCATTACCCTCCTCACTTGTTGGCCTGATCTTCCTCACAGGCACTGCTCCCATGAGCACACGCCTGTGCTCCCTGGAAGGGCTGGATTTGCTGTGCACACACGATGCAGAAGTTGTACCTGTTGCCTGCCCGACAACTGCTCTGTGGTGGAACAGCAGAAGTGCACAAGGGAGAGGGGTGACACAGTCCCCTGGGAAAAAAAGTGTACCTGGAATAAGCCCCAGGCTGGATGAATTTTCATGAAGGGTTGTGTGAGGTCTGTTTGCCATACATGCACTCCCTGACTGAGAATACAGATTGGACCTACCACACATTCAGGTTTTCCCATAGATGTTTCCTTTTTTTGTTTATGATTTTTTTTTCTGAACAATAATTAAGGATTTTGTGCATTTCTCTAGGAATTCCAGTTGCCTAGCAGTTGTTCTGAGGAGGCTGCTGAACATCTGAAAATCCTCAATGTCCACACACAGAGCAGTAAACTTCATTGTACAAATGCAACCATGCCGACATGTTTGTGCTACCAAAACTTACGTTTTCATGTGGGGAGGCAGGCAGTATAGTGCACAGGAATTACATTTGCTTTCTAAGTCATGTAAATGCCATCTCTGTGGGATACATAATTTTGGTGGGGATAAGGCCATTCATATGACCAGAAGTTTCATAGCTGGATATTAGACGCAGAACACTCAAGACTCGCTTTGCCAGTGCTTTGTGGCTGTTTTTAGAAGTCTAGTTTACAACTGTTTCATTAGAAATAATAAATAGCATAACCCTAAGAAAAAAAAAAGGTTTATTAATAAGCCAATTAAAGGTGTCAAATGTAAAGCATTTAATCTTGGAACAACGTATTTTTTCCCTTTGCTCTCTTGTTCCTAAGAGCTGATCATGAATCTCGCCCAAACATATATTTTAACACAGCAAGTGCAGCCAAGGATTTATTAGCCTGAGAAATCAATCGGGCAACTGAGCTTCTCAAAGTATTATTTTAGGTATTGTACCTATTGTACCTATTTCACTTTCCATGCAGAAAAGAATGACCATTGCCATCTCACCAGCAGAGACTCCTTTCATTCTTCTTGCATGGAGAAGACAGTACAGCCCAAAGCTGCTGATGGCCCTCATCCCTGTATTTCCCCCATTTGCTCTCTCTGGTTTTGGAGGCCACATTGCCTCACACACACAATAAATAGGCCACTCTTGTATTTTATCTACATTGCACATTTCCAAACCAGGCAGATTTCTTATCCAATACTCAATGTCAGCTAAAATAACAAATACCAACCACAATGTTATGAGATGCTTTAACTTATTTTGACTAAAATGCTATGCCTTTTTGACCAGCATTTAAGCAGCGCTAGGCACATCTTTTTCCTCCTTGCATGGCACATGCTTGACTACGTGCCTCCAGGAAAATGCATTTCATGCGTACGAATGTGCAGTTGAGTTTGCTGGGACATGCACACACACAAACATAGAGAGAAAAGTGTATCTTTAGTCCAATCTAAAATGCTTGTTTCAGCAAAACAGTTTCCTTCCTCCTCTTTGTTAGGTCAGGGTAAAAATATAACACTGGCTTTCCTTACAAAACAGAGTTGTGGTGTTGTTGTTTATATTAAACTTCCTCTATTTTCTCCTGATTTGTACAATGACCAAGGCTGTCTAGAAATACAATTTGCTGTCTTATCTACCACAGTCACCTTTGTGGGTTCTCTTTTCTCCATGATGCCTCAATGCACGCAAATATCCACTTCCTTAGCTAAACACATCTCAAAGATGGGGTCTAAACTGAATTGCCACATGGCCTCCCAAATTCCCTGAGCACCACTCTGTCTGACTAACCACAGAAAAATCAGGGATGATAAACTGACCCAGAAAAATGGAAAGAAGCCTTGGTCAGCAAAAAGATGTTTTTGCTTTGGTCAGCAAAAACCCTGCCAGCACTCCCAGGGTTAAACTCTGTGGCAGAAAATATCTTCATGCTACAAAGGAAGTGAGCTAATCACTTGTGCCACTATCAAAGCACTGCAACAACATCTGGCTCATCTTCCTCATTTAAGTTCAGTTCCTAAAAAGCCAAGTCAAAAGAAGCAGTCCCGTGGAATCACTGTATAATTATTTTGGTACACAAAGTTGATACTTGTTTCAGTGCTTCCCTGGCACGTTTTCTACTCAGGCCTCACTGGTACAATCAGCTGTCTCTGACGTATGGGCTGCCCAGAGCATTTGCCAATGAGAACATTCCCCATCCACATGAAAATACCTACCCAAAGGGGTAAAAGCCACAGTGCAAAATATGCAAAGACAACTGAAGATGGTGCTTTGATGAATGCACCATCACTCCAGAAAACACTGTATGTAGTGATTTCTCTTGTCCATTTGCAAATACTGTAGAAGAAGCTTCTTCTCTCTCAAAGAAATTAACTTCAATTATGTGTTCCCAATTACAGAAACATGGAAATTATCTTCTTTACAGAGGGTAGAATCAGCCCAATTTGGAACTGAAAAGCAGACAGAAACATCTTTTACTGATAGTGACTTTCCCTTTAATTTTCTTTTTCCTTGTTCAACTGCATAAAGTTGGACCTTTCCCTTCACTTCATGCACCAAAACTGATCATCAGTTAAAAGAATAGTTAAATAGCATCACAGCATATTTTTTATTCAACAATCTAACAAAGACCACACTTCTTCATTTAAATTATTGACTATCCAAAACAATTGCAAACTTTCAGAGCAAGAAATCCAGCATGGTGCCATGTCTTTCATGAGTTGTGCTCTCAAATAAATATCAAGATTCCCTACAGCTGTATTTCAGTTTCTAATTAAGGCCAACTCTTACAGAGGAGATGCAATAGAAAAAAAATATTTTCATTCTTGATTTGTTTTCCCAGTGAAAGGTTACTGCTGCCAGAGTACATACAGATTCCTGAAAAGACAATTCTGCCTGAAATCCTTGCAACATGCACGTTCCTTGATTTACTCCTGCTTGGAGAGTAACTCATGAAGATCCTTTGAGGAAGCTTCCCTGCATGACGAGATTTCCACTGACAGCCAGTGCCTTCTGGCCCATACCAGCAACTCAAAATCACAAGTCTTTGGCCTGGCAGGAGAGAAGACTCCCCTGGGACACGCCAGAATGGGACAAGCCACCAGTTGCCTTGCTGCCCACCTGCCCTGCCATCACTTCCCACAGCAAACCAGCAATCCAGAACACACAGTTCTGGTAGCAGAGCCCTCATTTGTTAAACACTGCTTGCTTTGAAATAGGACGGTTTTGTAACTGCTTCAAAGCTCTAGAGGATATTTTTCTTTATTTTTAAACTTCATTATTGTAACTGTATCCTTACTTAGCTATCTAAGCACACTGACTGTCCTATTCTAATCCTGCTAAGCTCTTAGTTTC